GAGGCAGGAGAGCCCACGCTCGTCTTCCTGGGAGGTGCTGCCGCGGGGTGTGCTCCCCGCGGGCGGCGGGCCCCAGCGCCCCTGGGCCGGCTCCCGAGGAGGTGCCTCGGGACAATGGCAGAGGGCACATGGCCTAAAGCTCCTGTGTCTCCCTCTAAGTGAAACAGCCACTGAGTCATTTCCATGCAAACCAGAAATGACGATGAGTGTTCCTCGTAGAATCTAAGGAAAATTTTCCAGGCCTTGTTCAGCAGCTTATGTTGGCAGAGAATTGGGCCTGACTCTAACCTGTTAGAGTCTGTTGCCATCATTGGAGCCACTTCGGCTTCTCACGTGGGTCAGTCTCTCACCGCTTAAGCGACAGAATTGTCTAGTTTCCCTCTCCACACCCCCCCCCCCCCACACCCAACACACACCCACCTTCCCTCCACTTTTTTTCTCCTGTTTTCTTTGTGAATTAGGAAGAAAAACAGAAGGTGGTCCTGGGCCAGGACAAAAGTAGGAAGAATGGGTAGTCCGCTAAACCCCAGGTTCGTTACCCTGAACATCTTGTCCATTTTATCTTTAAGATTACTCTTTGGTTGTTGGGTCACACACGTTTGCTGAGCAGCTCTTTGTAAAGCTAATTGGACTTCTGTGCCTCTGAGTATTTTGGCTTCTCTCCCCTCATTCCTTCTCAGGGAAGTCCTGTGGGACTCACTGAAGAGCTCAGGCTTGGGCTTGACTACCTGGTTCAAGTCCCAGCTCTACCACTTGATGACTGTCATTTAGCTCCCCGTGCCTCAGTTTCCTTATTTATAAAGTGGGGGTTATAATAATGCCTGTCCTGACAGAATTGTTGATTAAAAGAGTTTTAAGTATAAGGCACCTTAAACAATTTTTGGTGCAGAAGAAGTTTCTCCATAAAAGTTACCCATAGAATTAGGAGTAGTTGAATTATTCTACACTGACATTATTTAAGTTGTCTGCAAACCTCAAGTTTCAAATAATGACTTGTTTTCCAAGAGTAGTGCTTACAGTAATAGAATCTGTGCCAAATAAAATGACAAGGAAAGACTGCCTGTTGGCAGATTTTTTCTTTTATTTTAAAGGAAGTGTCAGTAGTTTAGCTTAATTAAATAATTGCCTTGCAAACATTGTTATCTATAAATGAATGCTGGGTAAGTTCTAAGAGCAAAATTGTTTCATTTTTCCCAATGGGAGGGCACTCTGGGGTTTTTTGTCTTTTTGCTTGTTTTTAATGTGCATTTAAAAAAACTGACTCCCACTCAAGAAACTGATTTATTGTATTTTCAGTTTTATAAACTGAACCATATTAGAATTCGAGTTCTTTAGCGCTATCTTTACCTTGCATTTGTTTTCTTAGGTAGCTGTGTTAAGGAGGACTGCATTTTCTCTTTATTTTTTGTAATCCCTGTGGTGTCAAATAAGAATTGCAGGACGTGTCTCATAGATCTTCAGTTTAGGCCTTTTGATTTCATATACCGACTTCTGACTTGGCCATTTATGTTTGTGAATTGTGGTTACATATATTGTTTCTTGAGTTCATGTAGTCTCTCTTAAAAATATTAGGAATTTTTTGAAGGTTTTCTTCTTAGAATTTTAATAATTCAGGGTTCCTCTTTTCACATACAAGTTTTAAGCTATTAACACTTTGTGAAAATTGGAAATAGATCATCTGGAACAGTTGGGGACCTCTGATACAACATATCTGGATACCTATGTGTTGAAAGATTCATTTTGTAATACCATATTTACATATTTAAATTGCTTTGTTTCTGTTACTGTTAAGTCATTTGAGCCATTTAAGAAAAAAATGCTTAATTATCACATTTTACAAGAAGACTTATACGGGAACAGTCTTACATAAACGAAGGTATTTTATATAGATAGATAGATATTAGAACTTTAGATCAGACCTTAATAAAGCTTCATCCCTTTCTGCATTAGCTGGTGTTAGACTTTAGCTTGAGGAATGCATTTATTCCATATACAACACATCACTTCCTCAGATCTTCAGAGTACATTCCTTTGGTTTTACGGCTGCCCCACTAAGAGGCCTGATTCATCTGTAACTGCTCTTTTAAAATCTGTGTTTAGGGAAGACAGCAAGGCAGAATCTAGTTGTGTATTGTAGGGAGTTAGTATATCTTTGGTGTATAGAACCTGTTCAGTTCTTATTATTACTTGAAAAATAAAATTGTTTTTTAAGTTGTTATCCTAGAAAATGAAAGTGCATGAAATACATACCTCCACATCTTGGGTCAGGTTAGGGGTAGGCAGGAAGGGAAGTTTCATTTCTTCTCCTTTAACCTTGATGGGCTTTGGGGGGGGCGGATTGACTCTTGACAGTCTGCCTCAAGGGACTTTCTGCTTAGAGTCCGACCTAGAGATGCAGAAATCGGTCCTTTGCTCCCTGCTGCCCCAGGAGCAGGGCTCGTAGGGCCGGTGTTGACAGTGTACTGTTCAGTTTCTTTCAAGGGGCTCCTGTATGCCTTTGCTGTACTCCTTGAATTTGTTAAGGTGATTTTTTTTTTTTTTTTTAACTGCCCATGATGTTGATGGCTGCCTCAGAGCATCCTAGAAGATTCATTTCACTTTTGATTGGGAACCCTTTTGCAGAGCCTGCCATTAGGATCATTGTCCTAGAACTCCCTGCGCGTGTCTCCGATTTCGCTGTTTAGGAGATGTGTGCCGTGGGGGCTCCCAACTGTGCTGTTCCCAGGAATTCTGAGCGCTTCCGGGCACGGTCATTGGCACTTAGTCCTATCCCCCCACCGGCAATATTGGTTACCCGCGAGATGGCACTGTTGAGACCGTGAGTGCATCCGTAATGTCTTTCTCTTATTTGCTAGGCAGAAGATGGTGTTAGTGATTGCGAGCTGCCGGCTAGCACCCTTGCAGAGCAGGAGTCAGTGAGTGCGGTTCAGCTTCCGGTCCTGTGAGTCTGATGCCTTCCCTCCATGTTTTGGCATCACTGCCAAACACATGCATTGAAATCCTTCATGATCATCAGTTTGTCAGATGATTATATTGTTGCAAAGAGTCTGTCCAGGTCCTTTGTATCTTTTTTTTTTGTCACCTTAGTGTATGTCCATTGTGATGGGGACAGAGGCATTGAGGTTGGAAGGAGGCACAACTGTAATCAAGGCAAGACTAGCGACTTCAGGTGTAGTGAATGAGCACAAACTCGTCAGAGGGAAAGCTTTTGCAGGATGCCAGTGGCGTCAGCCCTGTGCTCCGTGAGCGGTTGTTCAACCAATGAACTTTGGGCCCAGTCCTGTGGTGCCGCGTGTGTTTTCAACAGTTTATTCGTTATTTAATTTATTTATTTATTTGTGGATTGCTTTCGAGCGTAGTGTGCTGTTGCCGTGTACCACACCTATGTTACAGGGTAAGAGGAAGTTTTCCCTTTGCTTGCACGGTGCATCACAGAAGTCTGAGCCCCTGAGATGCAACAGACCAATGAGGTGGTTGGCAAAAGGTGGGCAATCTCGGGAGCACCTTCTCTACTGTCCTCCACTCCCTGGGAGTGAGTCCTGCGGCCCCGAGCAAGACCATATGCGTGGCCAGGAGACAGGCAGAGAACGCCGTGGACAGGAGGTGCCACCTGTTTGCACTGAACTGTGGAACTGGGCCCCCACCACCATCAGACTCGGTTGTGTGGCCTGTAACGGAGCAGGGTGACTGGGAGCCATCTGACCTGGTCTGTTGGTGAACGGTCGTTAATGCTTTACGACTGGGACCAAAAGATAGACCTGTTGCACATCTTCCTGTATCTGCATCTACTTTTGTTTGCTGTTGTTGAGTGAGGCCCTCACATTTGCTGTATTGTTCAAGTCCTTCACTTTTAAATCCAGTGTCATGGCCAGAAATTCTGTGTGTACTAAAGAGCACTTCAGCGTTAGAGGCCTTGAGGTAACAGTTAATCTGATCAGAAGGTACATGTGGCTGCATACGTGGCTGACTGTGGTGGTCACAGCATCATCCCTTAATTTGACGAACGTGGAGATTCCACCCCAAGTGGGATAGCCAGGCACTCTCTCCCTTTGTCGAAAAGTACTTTTGCACATTTCCACTGTAGTTAAAATACCACAAGGAGGCTAGCTTTGGATATGTGAGGTTACTGCTTATGGTCCCAGGTCCTCTGCCCCTTTACCTAGAAATAGCCTGCTTGTCGTTCTGGAGTGGAAACTTGCATGAAAGGTGAGAAGGAGAAAGTAGAATCCTTAATTGCAAATATAAGTGAATTTGAACTTAATCTGCCCATATTCAGGTTTATGTAATATTGCTTTTCTGGTTTCCTTATAAAATGTTGTCTTTCACTTGGCTACTAGTCAGGGGTATTCTGCTAAGAGATTCCACATCTAATAAATCCAAGGTAAGGAGGACTGCAGTAGGTTAGACTGTTTTCCCCTCAGTGGGTGGATGAGTTTATCCTCTCAGAATCTCCAGAGCCCCAGCATTTATTAGGAGTTGAATTTAATTCCAACATTTTTAGGTTCAAGAAAAACACTTACTACTGAAATAAAATTGTTGGAAAAAATGATTTTTCTTAAGGAAACCTGATTCTTAAGCATGGAATTTGAAATCTTTAAATTCCATTTAGTTAAGTTACAGGCTTTGGGGTCAATAATTATGATTTGGATAATTATCATAAATGTCACAGCAGGTGACTGAGTTGTAGATTTTTCTTTATCCCATGAAATAATCATAGATACATGACTGCATAACTAATCGATTTTGCATTAGGGCGATCACTCAGTTGACGTGAATCTTTCCCATGGTAAATTGATACAGCACCGAACCGATTAAGCCCTCCATTGTGTCTGACCGCCTCCCCTCCCCCCACCTCAGGCTTGGTTCAGGGTTTTTACTTTTACGGTGTATGATAAATGAGCTGTTTACTAATTTTGTGTTGAAGTGAAATAGAAATTTGGATTATTGGAATTTATTATTTGGGGGCATCTGGCTCATCCTTGTTTTTGTTTGTTAAACAGGAAAAGGACCAGCGCAGCCTAGACATAAACACTGCCAAGTGCATGTTGGGACTGTTATTAGGAAAAATCTGGCCCCTTTTTCCAGTTTTTCACCAATTCTTAGAGGTACCAAATTGTTATTTTATGGAATGTATGTTTGCTTGCTTAGAACTACCAAGTATACTTTATTTAACCATTTCACATAATTTTCTGTTTGTTGTACTTTCCTGCCTGTAGGAGTGATGGTGACATAATCGCTGTCCGTGAGCAGTCCCCCGTTTTCTCTGGGTGTGTCTGGGTGGGGGTGGTGTATGTGCCGCATCACTTCCCGGTGCGGGTGCATCCGAGACAGCCACAGCTCTGTCCTTTCCGCTCTCTTGCCCCACTGGAAAAACGTGACCTCCGTTAGGATTTCCTGCTCTGTATAACAGTAGTAAAACAAGATTCACTTTTTTATGTGGCTATAGGTGAATTTTCACTTTTATGAAGCAAAGGTTAAAAAACAGCCATCTACCTTATTAAAAGAAGTTTGTCCTGTATTGTTATCTACTCTTATCCCCAAGAATGTGGGCACCTAGGTAAATCCAAGTGTTAGGCACACCTGCAGCCTCTCCCTCAGTTTCTATTTTATGTTTGCGTTAGAAAAAAATCCAGCGCTTGACTCCACTGTGGTTTGTTTGCTGTAAGTATTAATGATCAAACGTTTTGAGCTGCCAGTTATCAGGAGCTCGTTTTGATGCCGTGTGATACTGTGGGACCTGGAAGTATCTGAGATGTAAGTTTGAGCTACTGGGGTTGTCATAGATGGCATCCTTCTTGCCCTGCAGACCCAAACCCCTTAAAAAGTGCCCTTTGCCTAAAAGGATGAGTGAGGGTCCTGGGTCTTTGAGAAAAGCTTGGGCCCTACCCTGACTCCAGCTTCACTCTTGTCATAATCTTTCTTAGAATTCACTTTATGCAGTGGTCCAGAAAAACTTCTAGCTGATCTGATTCTTTGAGGACTGTTATTAAAAACTGCTTTTAACGTTACTAACCAGGACTCCTCAAGACGGGTCTAAAAACTAGTTTTACTTATTAGAAGCGTTTGTTGACGTGACAGTCCATGTCTACAAATGATCTGTTCTCATTTCTCTGGCCATCCCGTGAAATGTTAGCTTTCTTTGGAAAACGAGTAGAAATAGGTCCTTGTTCTCAGAGTGGAGCAGAATTTGAGCCCGGGCGCGAGGAGTTTTTTAGCTGAAAGACCTTGCCACAAGCAAGTCTGACTTTGCACGATTCCAGGAGCATCTTCAACTGTTTCCATGACTGATGTTTGCTTTGAGTTGCCTCGAAAGTTAAACTTGTAGTCTGTGCTTTGTTCTCTCTTTTACATTAGTTTGCTTTTTTCTTTTCAAAGGACACAGGAGCCTTTCGTTTGAGCTTCTCTTATGTTTGCGTCCTCAAAACCGTGGGCTCAGTGCTCTCTGCTTTTTACGTACTCGTATTGTTTCCCAGTGTTCCTGATTTTTAGTGGGTAGGATTTAAAAACTGTTGAATCTGGGCTTTATTTTTCAGTCTTTATACAGGAATTGTGTACTTTAAAAAAAAATACCTATGGCATATTTCTTGTCTGAGAGGAATAGGAAAAGTACTTCATGGGTCTTCTAATCTGTTACTTTTATGAGCAATATGATTAGAACAGTAACTTTCTTCACTGGCTAGAGCACCTAGTTCTGAGACCTCTGGTAGCCCTTAGTAAGTTCCTGGAGAGTAACTCCCTGTTGTGGTACTTGACAGTGAGCATGCCGATCAGGGCAGGGATTATTAATGGGAGCTACTCTATTTAGCACCTGCTTTCTGCCAAGCACTGAATGAAGTACTTTACATAAATTACCTCTTTTAATTTCTTGTAGGATCTCTATGAAGTAGGTTAATTATCTCTCTCTCTCTCTCTCTTTTTTTTTTTTTTTTTTTTGATGAGAGGGCTTTTGCAGTCTAGAAATTTCACTTCTAGGGATAAAAATCATGTTTCTTTGATGTGCTTGTCATTTTGTGTTGAGCCCTCATAATATTTTTCTAATGGAAATTGTCATCTTAAGTTCTACTTTTGCTCTCTCTCATCCTTCTCCTAGATTGGTGCTTAACATACCTCAAATGGAAAGAGTTAACCTTCATGATCTTTATTAAGTTGATTCATACAGCAGTTGAAACCGTGCGATTTGTTAATTGTGTCAGTAATTCATATTACTTTTCCCTCCATCAGCAATCAAAATATAAAGTTATTAACAAAGACCAGTGGTGCAATGTGCTAGAGTTTAGCAGGACAATTAACCTTGACCTCAGCAACTACGACGAAGATGGAGCATGTGAGTACTGGGCGTTGGGTGCTCTCCCACACACACCCCAGCCCTGCCCCAGCCCC